TTGTTTCCGATCAGAGGCTACGTGTCGAGGCTAAACAAGATAACTACAAGGCCGAGTATGACCGGATGGCGGTCGATCGACAGCTTTGTGAGACCGGACCTGTCTATATCAAGTTGCCTAACGAAACGAACTGGCAACTTGGAGACGTGCACGAAGTTATGGGACAAAATACGGGAGTGGCTGTACCAGATGGCAGGGTAGTCATTTGGCACAAGAACCATGTCCGTCCCCACCCTGTTTCGGTTCAGCATGTTGACACACCGACAAGACCGCTCGCTGAGTTTGAAGACATGCGGAATGCTAATCAACCGGAGACTCCGCAATGTCGAGTACGCCGACAAGTCGATCGATCCTAGACCAGCTGGGATAGTTCCAAATAAAGGGAGGAGGAATGTGGCATGTGCGAGGGCCAAGTTCACTTGCATTCTATTGACTGGACTCACTCGCATCAATACGTGCTAACTTAGCACCAAAGTAACCATTAATCGGACAAATCTAGATGGTGCAAAGCGTTGTGGTTGAGGCTAGACATAACACATTTTGCTAACTGCTGAAACTGAAGTGTTCTAATGTCTTACGCTACCAGCCGAATACTGCGTTTTACAGAGAGTTGTATTTTGGTATCCCACCTTATATGATTTGTCCAGTTCTTTTCTATTGCATATTCGGTGTGAATTTTGCATGTACATTTAGATTCAACTTCTGCATTGGTTGTTTGATATCACCGGCGTGGCTGCTCTTGATGTGCGTATTGATAAGTTGCCTACTTATCACTACTGGCATCAAGAGACTGTGAGTCGTTGCTGAGGGAATGGGGTGCACGGTCCTCGAGACTGGGCTAGGCACAGTGGTTCTATCCAGTATGCAGCAAACTATGGCTCAGCCACCGTTTTGTGAACGTCTGGTACGCATGATTCCCAAATCAGATGGACAGGAATGCTGCTGGTATGCATGTTGAAGGGATGTGGGTCGGCTCCGCTGATGAAACGCAGATCCCATCCACACACCACAGTGTTATTCTTTCGGATTTACACTGGATTCTGCCAATAATATATGGTTGGCGGCATCCGGTTCCGGATCCGCCTGTCACTGTGGTCTCCATAGGACAGCCACGGGAATCCTGCGCCTACAGGGGGACCATGGCTGGCTTGTGCTGCATCACCCACAGCTCCATCCACATACCCCATATCCAGTGTAAGCCCGAAGGAATAAGACCGGGAGGCATGTGAATGGGAGTCACGTTTTAATAACGGAGCCGACCAACACTGCTTCAATATACACAGCAGTAGCGTTCCTGTCTGTCTAGTGTGCGGGCGAGGGTGCAGCTGAGTGGGGAGATCTCGGATGACTTTGCAGTTGTCACTGGTGTGAATCAAGACTGTGTTTTATCTCCCTCCCTGTTTAATACTTATCTTCATGCCATGATGTCTTGTGCTTTTGATGCCGCTTGTGCTTGCGGTGTTCGTGTGGAGCACCGTATTGAAGGTGGATTGCTGAACAGCCGTCGTTTCGGTGCGAGAACCCTAGTATGTGAGATAACTATCTGTATACTGCTGTTCGCTGACTACTGTACGTTGTTTGCACACAGCGCGGATAAGTTACAGCACATGACTCGAAGAGTGGTTCTATGCACATGGCTTTTGTGTGGAGCGGACTACGGTCCAGCACAGCCTGTTGTGCACTTGGTTCCCCAAATAGAGCGTACTTGTGTTTGCCAGTGAAGGTGTGGGCCGGCTCAGTTGATGAAACGTGGCTCCCATCCACATGCCACCCGGTCTTATTCCTTTGGGTTTACACTGGATATAGGGTGTGTGGAGGGAGCTGTGGGTGGTGCAGCGCAAGCCACCCATGGTCCATCTGTAGGCGCAGGCTTCCTGTGGCTGTCCCCGTGGAGCCCAGGTGACAGGCCGATCCGGATACGGATGCCACCAACTATGTAGGGAATCATGCGTACCAGAGGTACACAATGTAGTGGCTGGGCCGTACTCCGCTCCACACTGGATGGAGCCACTCTTAGAGCCCTGCACGGCCACGAGGATCGTGCACCCCGTCCCTCCTAGCAAAAATTCACAGTCTCCTGGTGATAGTAATCGAAGTGGAGGATGTTAGACAGGTGGACACCTTGTTACCCTTCACATCAAGCATAGCCACACCGGAGATATCAAACAACCAACATAGAATTTGAGGGCAAGTAAACACGCAAAATTGACACAGAATATGCAGAAGAATAACAAATTGAACAGACCAAATAAAGTGGAAGGACTTCTATCCAGATTGCAAAATTTAAGAGTTAGCTGATTTAGCTCAACCGCGGCGAAGCATCGTGAATGCAAGATCAACGAGGTATATATATATATATATATATATATATATATATATATATATATATCATTAAAAACGTGTACGTTCGAAAGCACATTGGACGGTTTGCAAAACAAAGTGGACATTTTGCAAACCAAATTGCACACATTGCATTCTAAGCAGAAACTCGTCGTTTTGTTAGCAAGATATGAGGAGTGAGGCGACTGGACGGTGTTCAGACCAGATTGTAGTCATGATAATGCAACCGAATTGTGCGACCGTGAACCTCGAACGAAGGCGGTGACTAAGTTTCCCTCTCTCCCCCCATCGGTCCTAGTGCAGTTTATGTGCCTGTGACTTTACGCATGAATCTGCGTAGCCGTGTGACTATTGGAACGTCAGACTCCCGAATCGCGTCGTCTGTTATCAATCAAATAAATGTAACCTAGCTTTGGAAGGTCATTATGAAGTATACGTTTTGTGAATGGATTGCGATGCGCAATCTCGACGTGGACCGCGATTCCCTTGGCCAATACGATCAGTGGGACCGTAGCTGATGAAGCAGATAGGCGGTGACTTAGTCGTCACCTGTCCTTCTATGGGCCTTCGCGTATCTTCTATGGGAATGTGGACGAACCTATGCAGCGGCTGGACTATTGGAACAGCGTAGGCTATCACGACTGCACCAAACCCAGCATGGCATTATTAACCTTGTACTGCATGAAACGACAAAAATGAGCGACGAGAGAACGCATCTCAGAGGCTGTGGCGGTACAAGCGAACCTCATCGGCCCAGAAGGAGATCCGCACCAAACTTGTTTTCGTCGACGGCAAAACTATCCACTAAGTTTCTGAAGTCGCCGATGTCAATGAAAGCACGGCAAGGGACATCATCATGGCTTACCGGAGAGAAGGCACGAACATTCAGCGCAAGTGTGGTGGAAACAACAGGGAGAAGCTGACTGCCGATGTCCTACAGTGCGTTGAAGAGTCCGCTGAACGGCATTCCGAGAATACTTTGGTGCAACTGCAGCAGCATCTGAACGAGAACAGGATCCTCCTACCCTTAGTTAGTGTCTTCAACGCCCTCAGGAGGTTAAAGTGGGCGTTTTTCAAACCAAACTGCCGAATTTAGCATGTAGGAGTAGGGCGCGTACCGAGATGTCGATGGCGTAAATCTGTCAGTTTGCGACTGTCGTGGCACTGTTGACGCGGTATAGTCCGTAACGGCACTTCTTGACCCTCCAAAGCTAGGTTACAATTATTTGATTGATAATAGACTACGTGATTCGGGAGGCTAAATTTCCAATAGTCACACGGTCACACAGGCTCATGGATAAAACCACAGGCAAATCAACTACGCGAAGGCCGATGAGGAGAGAGAGGAAAACTTATTCACCGCTTTCAATCGAGGTTCACGATTAAATCGGTTGCACTAGCATGATCACAATGTAAGTTGAACGTCGTCCAAGTGCCTTACTCCTCATTTCTTGCTAAAAATTGCTAATTTTATGTGTAAAGTGCAATATGTACAATTTGTTTTGCAAATCATCTCTTGTGATTTGTAAAACGCCCAATTTGGTTTGTAAAACGTCCGATTTAAAGTGAAAATGGGATACATATGTATATATCCACATTTGAGTAAGTATTATGCGTCATCAGAACCATGACAAAATGGAAAGTAATAGGAAAACAAACAAACACACATACAACGAAAATTAAGCTCTTTAGGTGTCCACACACACCGTTTTTGGTTTTCCTCTATAACAAAAGATAGACGATGTGGCAGAACAACATTGGCGCCACTGATGTTTGTCGCGGGCCACAACATCCAACGTTTGTGACCACTAGAGTCCGTGACGCGTGGTTGTAAGCCTGGAAGGCGAACTGGTGCGACTACTAATGCTAAACCTGAGGTAGTCTTTTTATGCTCCTTTTTCACGTTGTTGGTCGCTCACCTCGACACCTTTCCCATCGCTTCCGAGAAGCGCGAATGACAATCGGCAAGGAAGGCGATGGGATGGTGTGCACAATATGCGGTGTCGGAGGACCATATTTTGGAGACGTGGACTGTTCACTTCAACTTCCATACTGCTTACTTGATGTTACCATAGAGCAGGAGCAAGAGACGATACAGCATAGAAGTCAGGAGTTTCCTAGTGTGCACCGCAGTTAATCGAGTATAAAGTGACATTGGGTTGTTACAACTCTGTCGACGGCATTGTGCTGCCTGGTAACATCTAAGCTTGCCCATATGGTTTTATTGCTTCTTACTAGGTAAAACATGAGTTGTTATATTCGGTCACCAGAGAAACTCCTGTGTTGCTGAAATAGAAAAACGCCAGTATTTGGATACAAACCCCGACATTTTACATCTAAATAGTGATGCGACCACATTTAAAGCAACAGATAATTGTGATGGCACGGACAACTTCCTCTGTTCAAACCAAACTGCCGAATCAACAGGGCAGTTGTGTAGCTGTGCGTAAACGATTAGTGTTTGGTAGATGTGATGGTAAGTGCTATGTCATGAAATGAAACGATATCAATCAAACGTTGGGGAGGGAAAGAAAATACAAACTATGTTTGTAAAAGTGCGACCGTGGTTCATTGTTATATACTTGAGAACATTCATACTCAGATGTACCGAGATTCCTTGATTAAGGAGAGGATATCGGAAATAAGATTGCCTCACTTACCACTCCGCAGTCAGGACTGGGTCGCTCAATATCTTTCCCACAATCAAGGCCCCGTGTTGAGGTGGATTGGACCAAGACTGTCGGATGATGATTTTGAGCTGAGATTTAACCTTCGCCGTTATCGAAGCATCTTTAGTGATGAAGGCAAGAGCGCCGACACGCTCATCTGTAAGGAACAACGAAAAGTAAACGTATGTGATACTACCAGCAGTGCACGAACATATCTGGGGGATAGTATCGGAAGCATCTGGCACAGCTTGGTGTGGGCCCACTGTGTCACAGACAAGAGCGAACAAAAATCTAAATGCCGGCCCAGAGTGCCAGCTGCGACTGACACACAATTGCTTACGAAGTAATAAAAGTGGTCTAAGCAAGATAAATGTGATACCCACAACGGGAAAAGCGAAAGAAACAGTTTCAGATCCCCAAAATGTAGCCAATATGCACGCGTATGGAAAAGTGAAAGGTGTTATAAGTAAATGGTGGACGTCGAAAGACAGATGCCTTTGAATGCGTGTCCCCATTTCCGGAAGTTGATATACCCTAGGCTGTGCTATTGAGGATGAATACACACACTACTACATCAAACCGGTCGAACTTCTTATGGGGTGAAGCCGGTAGTGTTCGGATTTAGAAATAATGAAATCCGCACACATTTTGGGGATCACATAACCTTCAGCAGGGAGCGTCCCATGTATAGGCCGGTTACATGGAAACAATATGGAGGTCCCCGTGGGTATCAAATTACCATATCCCCAGATTATTCACACACACATACACCATAAATTTGGGTTGAAGCACTAATGAACTAAGCTGGGATTTCGAGACTAAGACCGATGCGTGGGTGTATGAAGTCCCATCTGGAATGAAAAAACCTGGCGTTTGGGTGTGCCAACCGTCAACTTTTCCCAAGTATATTCTGTTTCAGATTTGCGTAGCTCAGTCATTCAACTATGATGCGGACGCTGAAATGAGGTGGTAGAAGAGACTTCATGATTCGCGCTGCCAATAGGAGGAAAAATAACGAAGAGCAGAAGCACAAAAACTGACAGATACGAAAACATCGGAAATGTAACCGGAGGGGAAATGGACTGGATCGTTGTCTCGTGAAAGCCGGAGCAAATACAGACTCTTTTGCACACATAGACTGGGACCTGGACACTAGGTTGCCATCGCTTCAGCGTGTCTTAGAACTCATGGGTGTATGTATGTATGTATGAGACATACCCGTGGGATCCACATAGCCGTTGCCCGTCAGATGGCAGAGATGGCACTGGTGAAACGTGTTTTCTAACCTACGTCGGCACATGATCTGCCATTTTGACCGGCACCTGGCAGTCTGTTGTGCTTGCACAGTCGATTTTGTGTGGATTGGCACAAGATCTGTGGATGGCTGAACAGAATAAGCGCAGAACAATCGAAGGGGTAGAGATGCACGTCATTGTGCGTAGTAGCACCGATTACAAGGAAGAGCATACACATGCGATAGTGGAGGTTAATTACTGCTGAAACATTTGCATGCATCATCTTCAAAAGGTTGTTGCCTTGATTAGTTCCAGTACTGTGAAAAATCATTTGGTACACGGGAGTTAGCTACCAGGAGGGTGTCAGAAGTGTAAATCTTGCCACTTGTTATACACTATACACTAATCCCTATCTGTGCCGAGTTAAAGTAAGACTGTTGAAGGTCAGGTGCTGTCCCTTCTACGGGGACTTCAGGTACACCGGCGTTTTTAGGGAACCAGCATTCCAGCGTGCTATTAATATGCTAAGGAGTGATAAAGCGGCATGCTGCTCCAACTCCATTGTCATGTTAATCGGAGACTTGCCATACAAGTTGCCACTAAACTGGATCAGTTAATCCTTACTGTCGCGAATGAACAAGATATCATCTATGTAGCTGAAGGACAGCAGTGATTTATCAATTTCGTCCTCGACTTAGAGACGAGCGATGGTGTTCTCCAACTCTTGCCTGAGTGAACCACACAAGGCGGCACCATCCGTTTGACGACCACCTAGTTCTTGAAAATAGGACCCTGCATTTGATGTGTGTAGAAGGTGCTCTAACACCAAGGCCTAGTTTCAATTGCTTCTCGGCCACATAACCACAATTAATCTATACGGACTTACGACGGTACTTTCATGGACATTAGGAGAGTGTCCATGCTGGTTATAATCCCTACACACAACTCGACACTGACCAGCGGCCCCCTAATTCGAAAATATACTGCATAATGTACTCTAGCATTGACTTTATAACCGGACTCAGTAGGGGTTTTGACTATATGGTCAGTCTGTGCTGCAGAAAGTACCCATGGATAAAATCGGTTTCAGATGAACGTCTATCAAGTACAAGTTAAGTATCCCTTAGAATTGAAATGTTAGAGTGCCCCTAGATAAGGAAATAAATAGTTCATTCTCGTCAGTGCGAGGCACGAGTTGGCGGTATCAGTGAGATTTCCTTCTAAAAAGGTCACCTGTTTCACATTACCTTTTTTCCAACTCTGCAAGTTGTTACATGCACCGTCTGGCTTGAACTCTGTTCGAGCAACCGGTCACAGTACGTGATCCTTTGTCTAAGTGAAGGATGACTACTTTCTCCTTTGCTCTTTGTCTTAAGGACATTTGTATGGAGCTCGTGGTGTAATTTTGACACTCCAGATAAGAGAATTTTGCTTTCAGTCACTGCTCAGCATCTTTAGATGTCAACATGAGGCCCGGTTGTTTACAAAATAATTTCAGCAGCGCTTGCGTTCATCATCATAATCAATACACGTTAGTTGGGGGTGAGAGACATAAATCAGCTAATGTGCCGCAATAAAAAAGATATACAAAATATTCAAAAGCGGGCAACACAATGTTAAATATTATATTATGTAATTGATATGAGATCGGAATTGGAGGGGAATCTAAAAGAGAGGTGATGGACAAAGAAACTCAAAACACAAAGGCCATTGGGACCGGCACTTCGCCATATCAGCAAGAGTGTTCAACCAAACGTGTTCATTGTCCTTAGGACCCCAGCCAGGCAGTCGGGATGCACCAACCGACGCCAACTTCGAAGTGAGGGTTTTCATTCCTTTCAACTAAGTCATCGCTTGTCCTCCCTTCCTCCTCTTCCAACCGCAAGCCCGGCGCGCAAACAATGCACGTCGCAGGAGTCGGTGTGCTGGCATGCGCAATGCCTGGTCCAGCCACTGGAGCCTGGCGCGTGATATAATTGTGCTGAGCAGTTTTCTCGCTCTTCCTGAACCAAATACACGACGCCGAACACGTTCATTGCTCACGCGGTGCTCCCATCAGTAGCCTGAGTTACTGTGCGATTAATCTTTCTGGATGGGACTTAAAACTGCGAACCGAAAGACTCTAGTTGGAACGGAACTAATGGAACGGAGGTGTTGCCAACTTGTCTTAGTGGTTAAAGGGTAGGCCAGACTTAAAAAGCTTTCTAAATCCACTCAGTTAAGGTTCTACTTACTTCACGTACTATGTCGTGACAGAAGTTTATAGTCGAGATAACGTACCAATTGCGAATCACAGAGTATGGATTGGTCGGCCAAGTTATCCCTGATTTCATTAAAAGAACACATGCTCAAAATGCTTAGCACAGTAGTCTTTGTAGTTGTAAGCCTTTGCTATAATACACAGAGAAGTCAGTTCACGTTTAGATATACCAGCATAAATACAATGACAATTGCGCACTTCCACTTAGCTATCTCATCCAGATGTCATATGATTTTTCGAGTGGTAGTGCTTAAGATTATCAGAGCAACCAGTTGCCGATAAAAATCCAACCGGGAAATAATTGCCTCAATCTCTCGCACAAACATGAACAGTCACCAGCATCAACAGCAAAATATCACTCCGTTCTACTCGCAGTTAGCTGCCAAACAGCCAAGAGGCATTTACCCAGATAGAAACGCTGCCAAAACCGTATGGATCCCATACCTTTTGGTTTAACTAACATCTCTTGGTGCCACTGCACCCCGAGGTTACAATACGAAGAATCCAAGATTCATCGGTACGATCTTCAACACAAGCCAGTAACACAATTACACGAGGGATTAACTAGGCCTGCGGGGGAATGTGCCACTATAGTTCTGACCATCAAATTGAAACACTACCATATACTTGCAAATGGTCTGGTGAACCTTGATGAATGCTTTGAGAAGAAGAGAATACTGTTTACAGATGTTACGCCAGGTCATTGCTCAGTTGCCAAGTCAGTAATGTGCACAAGTTTGTCAAATGTTCTACTATGCTTCGTCGAAGTAGGAAAAGAACGAATACCGATATCATGCGCCTGAATAATAATGGATGTTTCAAGAAATCAACATGACAGTTTACAAAAATCAAGCAACGCAGCCCATTGCTAAACAAAATTGAGAGCGGCGCACACGCTGCGCTGTGTGCACGGGACGACCGCTCCCGACCGCATACTGAACACACCTTGAAACCATGTCAAACTTCGTACAGAGAATAAATGATTCCTATCTACCACAGACAAACAAGTTAGTAAAGGCACGAGCAGAGATTCCGGTCAAGGGGGAGACAAGCACCCAATATCAAGTAGCACGAAAATGCACACCGGTCGAGCTGAGGCCATCCGGTGCCAACAAGGTCAATGAACAAGGTTACACAGGCGAAACAACAAAATAAATTTACATCGGTAGCACCGTATTTCAGCATGACAAGGCGAGTAGAGAACAAAAATAGCAAAGGATCCCAGAACCACACAACCTCGTAGCAAGACGATGAGGCAAATATGGTCAAAAAGCTGAGAGTAGAGAAAGAACCATCTCATGAGAATGGTAGCTGAGACGATCGGCAGAGCCTCTTTGTAGAGCTGAGGGCAACAACTTGGATCACGACAAGAGCAGCGGAAAGACAAAGCCAATGGCTAGAGGTGCATGAGAGCAATGTTTTCATATTTCTACATATGCTTAAAGTCAGTTAGGGAATATACCGGAGCACATAGGGGACAAGTAGAATGTGCGCTACTGCCGAGTATCGAAAGGATGAACTGAGGGTACAGTGCTTTTCCGGATGAGTGCTTTGTGTCAGACTGAGTCTAGATTTGAGTAAGTCCACCTACTGAGAAGTCCGCAAATTCCAGCAAAGGTGTTCTTGACTGAATAACATCTGAGTAATAGCAGGCCTAAACGT